CTGAGACGTGGAGAACTGACCGTAGGTGCCACCAGTGATGGTTGTTAGCGGGAAAACAGGCTGCCCGAGGTGGGACGGGATTGTTCTCTCCACCTGGCCAACCACAAGCTCCCGTTGGGGCCCGGGGAGCCGGCAGCACCAGACCCTACGGGGAAGGTGGAGGTTCCTGGGCCCTTCACTTAACCTCTGGAGGCCGACTGGTCCACACTGCTCCTGTCCCCAGATCCGCTGGCTCCACGTCCTCGTGGTCTGTGAGTAGAGACAGGACTCAGTTCCGTGGACACCCTCCTGCTTTCTCTCCCTGCCCCCCACAGCACCCTGTTTCATCAGTGAGACACGTGTACACTTGTCCCTCAAAACCCCCCACAGGGCAGCCGAGCTCCCCCCGGCAGCGGCAGGGGGACGTCGGAGCAAGCGTTTAGGGCCTGGGCCCCACCCTGTTCATCCGTGTCCCGTCAAGCCAGGCCTGTGCCCCTCACGGGTGCTCAGCAGGTGATGGTAACGTGGATCAGTGGATCGGGGGGCGGTGAGCGCTAGATGGGGTGGGGGTGGAGACAGAGCCACGCTGACGGGCAGCATTAGTCTAATTGGAAGCTGTAGGGGGGCAGGGGGAGCAGGCTGGTGGCAGGTTGAGTGGCGAGTCTGAGGGCAGGGTCCTCCGGCCCAGCGCCGTCCTGCAGAACCTCACGGTGAGGATGAAAATGTATTTCTGTCCTGTCCCACGCAGTAGCCGCCGGCCACGTGAGGCAACGGAGTACCTGCGATGGGGTCAGTGTGGCCTCAGTGCTGTTTTTCATGTTATTTAATTGTAATCAGTTTGCATTTAAATAGCCACCGGCAGCTGGCGGCCAACGTATTTGATCGTGTGGGACTAGAGGAAAATCGTGCCAGGCTGGAGAACGCGGTGCGAGGGCTGCACGCGTGATAACCACGGCTGCTGTTCATCGAGTGGCTCTTGCGTTGATCCTCAAAACAACTCAAGGGTGTAAGTGTTATCCCACTTCACAGATGAGAACATCTGAGGTTTAGAGAGGTTTTGGTAGCTTGCCCCGGGGCTCACCCAGGTCTGCCGCCCCCTAAACCTGTGCACGGTGCCGTGCGGCTTCGGAAGGAGCTGAGAGCCACGTTTCAGGAACCAGACTTGATTCTAGTGCAGGACGGCGTGAGGTGCAGACTTAGGAGAACGGAGGGCTCGAGAGCCTCCAGGGCTGGGAGAGACGATGATGCTCCTGTTTCTGGGGCTCCCAAGTACAAAAGCAGAGAGAGGATCCCAGTCCTGGTCGGGGGCTGCTGTGGACTGAATGTTTGTATCACCCCAAGATACCTACGTTGAAGCCCTTGCTCTGACGTGGTATTTGGAGATGGGGACTTTGGGAGGTGAGTAGAGGAGGTCCTGAGGGTGGGTCCCTGTGATGGGACTGGCGTCCTTATCGGAGGAGGAGGAGGCCAGACCTCACTCTCCACCATGGGAGGGCACAGCAAGAAGCTGCCATGCGTACGCCAGGAAGAGCCCTCCCCAGAACCTACCGTGCCAGCACCAACCGGGGCGTCAGGCCTCTGCGGATGTGACACACACGCTTCTGTTGTTTCAGCCAGTCAGTCTGTGGTGTTTGTTACAGCAGCCTGAACTGACTGAGATGGGGCAGAGGCTGTCCGCTCCCCCTTGGCTGTGTGCATAGGGCAGAGGCCCGGCTGTGAGGGCGCCTGTGGGGTGCAATGGGAGGCCGTGGGGCTTCATGCTGACAGCTGGAAACCTCTCCCCCACCCACTGGGAGACAGCACGGAGGGCAGGGCCAGACTCCCCAGCCTGGGCTGTTGCTCCTGGAGTCAGCATCAGGCCACACCCACGGCCCCAGCAAAGCTTCGTCCCAGGCTCAGCCCCTGGCACCTTCTCTGCCCCTTGTTTTGAGAACCACTAGCACGTCCCCGGGGACCCGCCTGAGCAGAAGCAGTTCTCTGGAGATCCTGCCACCAGCCTGGCACCAGGGCAGGGGAGGGTGTGACCAGCTCTCCTGAGATCTGAGCAGAGATCCCGCTTTACCCCCAACGAGCCGTGTGACCTCGGGCAGCCGGAGCCATCCCTGAGCTTTTGTTTCCTCATCTGTGTAGTGGGGATCAGAACGCCCGCCTCCCTCTTACTCCGTGGCCTGGGCCGTGGTGCCTGGTCTGATACCCGGGCTCTGGTCCCTGGTCCAATACCCGGGCTCTGGTCCCTGGTCTGATACCTGGGCCGTGGGCCGTGGGCCGTGGTCCCTGGTCCGGTCCCCGGGCCCTGGTGCTCACTAACTGTGCCGTGGGTGTGTGATTCCCTCCTGTTCCCGCGCCATCGTCTCGTTCAGCAGCCTGTGCAGGGCAGGGCACTCTGGGTGTTTGTAAGGCGAGCGGCCCTCCACCTGTGCATGTGTAAAGAGTGCAGAGTGCAGAGGGAGAGCTCACGTGTCTGAGGGCCACACTCGTTTCCACCTGTTCCCGTGTACACAGCGATGCTGGGAATCTGCAAGGAAAATGGAGCTAACGAGCGTCAGCGCCTCCCTTCTTTCTCCTTTACCCAGAGAGGAGAGGCCCATGCTCTGGTTCTGGGACCCACCTCATGGGCTGATGGGGTCCCTGTTGTAGAGGTAGAAAGACTGGGAGTGAAGGGTGGGAGGTGGAGAGAGGCTGCTCTCTTGGGGAAGGGGAGAGTCACCGGACTCTTTGAGGGATCGTGGCCTAGGGTTCCAGTGGGACAGGCTACCAGTCCTTGGAGGGGCTGAAGCCCAGCCTAGCAACAGTCCCAGACCCAAGACTGGCACAGATGTGGCCACGTGCTCCCCCTCCCTCTCCAGGGGCCACGAGAGCTTGGGAAGCAAGCAGGCCAGCAGTGAGGTGTGTGGACGGCGCTCAGGGGACCCTCTGCAGATGGGCTGGGCCGTCAAACACCCCAAGCCTGGGACCTTCGTGAGAGCTTGGAAAGGGGCCCTAAGTGTGGCCGAGGCTTGGGCAGATTTTCCTGCCACCCAGAGGGACAGGAGCTTGGAGCAGATTGTGTTTTATTTGGAGAAATAAAAGAGAGGTGACATTTCTCGAACCTGACCATTGGCGCAGCAACGTACCATAGCTTCCATCCCCCGTGAGCTTGCTCCCCCCTCCCCGGGGCACTGAGCTCAGCCGCCCGATCGGGCCAGTGACCTCCACACGCTCGACACGGAAGCCAAGTTGGTGACCTTTTTTCCTCTCCGTGGAGAGGTGTGCTCCTTGCTGAGTTGGCAGCCTGCAGAAAAGGCCAAGCAACAGATGCCGCCTTCCCTCGGCGGGGGGCTGCAGAGAGCCCCCACCCACGCAGGGACCGTGTGTGGCAGGAAGATGGATGAGCTGGGGCACCAGTCCTGAGGCGTCGCCAGCTATCGCTGAATCAGACTCCGCCGGCGTCAGCCTGGAGCCGGCCTCGGCCCCAGCAGATCCACCTCAGCCCCAGCATATGCCGCCTCTGGCCTGTCCCACCTCTGCTTGTGGCCGCGCGTTCAGGGGAAGCAACAGAAGTCCAGTCACCATCACATAATGACGTTTCGGCCAACAAATGTCCCACCCCGTTATCATACCACGTTCTTACTGTACCGTTTCTACGACATATTTAGATACAGAAATACCTTCCGCCGTGTCACAGTTGCCTGCGGCATTCGGTACAGTAGCACGTCGTACAGGTTTGCAGCCTGGGGGCCCTAGAATACACCAGCGAGCCTGGGTGTGCAGCCGGCTGCACCATCTCGGTGTGTGTCTGTGTGCTCTATGTGGTATTTGCAAAATGGTGCAATCACCTAACAGTGCCTTTTCTCAGGACGTAGTCTTGTTTTTTTTTTTTTTTTTGAGGCGGAGTCTTGCTCTGTCGCCCAGGCTGGAGTGCAGTGGCCGGATCTCGGCTCACTGCAAGCTCCACCTCCTGGGTTCGCGCCATTCTCCTGCCTCAGCCTCCCGAGTAGCTGGGACTACAGGCACCCGCCACCTCGCCCGGCTAATTTTTTTTGTATTTTTAGTAGAGATGGGGTTTCACCGTGTTAGCCAGGATGGTCTCGATCTCCTGACCTTGTGATCCGCCCATCTCGGCCTCCCAAAGTGCTGGGATTACAGGCTTGAGCCACCACGCCGGCCCATAGTCTTGTTTTTGAGCAACACTAATCGTATTTATAAGTTATGAGCTTAATCAACCTTGCTTAAAGCACAGCCCCTTTCCGGTTCTCATGAAGCACCTGGGCTTGGGGTCTTTGAGGGCCCAGCACGTCAGCAGACTGTAGATTCTGGATTCTGGCTATTTCTGTGTCCAGAGAACATGATAAAATGTCTCTAGAGTCCGACCTGAATCCGTGGTTGCCGTGTGGACCTGAGCAAACCCTCAGACTCTGCCAAGCACCGGGTTCCTCACCTATAACACGGGCCCGACGTTGGCATAACTGGGGCACGAGGGTCACTAAGCGGCGCTTGGTGTAAAGGAAACGCTCACGTTCTTACGAGTGTTTCTCGCGATTGCGTCTTCCGACGTGTCAGGCCCACAGGCGAGTTTTGGGTACGATTTTACGCCACTGTCCGTTTCTTCAGTGAAGCACATTGTTTCCTGCCCCGTTTCCAGGTGGCACCGCGACCCGCTGTGTGAAGCCCAGATCACCTGCTGTCGTGTTTGCCTGGACCGTCCCTGGCGCTGGGTGTCTCGGTTTTATCCAGTTCTTTGCTGTCAAACACGGTGCAGCCATGAACGTCAGCAAGCTCAGTTTCCTCGCTGTGACTAACAGAACCGAACTCTGGGGGGAGTCGGTGCCGTGGAGGTCCGTGGATGGGGCCATCCATTATGTCCAAAGCCAGCTAAGGATTTTCAGATGATCTGTGCCTTTGGGGTGATTGATTCCTTCTGTCCTGAAGCACGAGACACTCCTTGGCAGATGCCAAGTGTCCCTTCGTTACAGTTGTCTGAGTCGCTTGGTGGAGGAGGAAGCAGCTGCCGTCTTTACAACCCCATGTCCTCTCTCTCGTAGAAAGTCTGCACCAAGTGTGGGATCGAGGCCTCCCCTGGCCAGAAGCGGCCCCTGTGGCTGTGTAAGATCTGCAGTGAGCAAAGAGAGGTAGGGCGTCCAGGCGGGGTGGGGAGGGCGTCCAGGCGGGGCGGGGAGGGCTGGGCGGGCGGATGTGTTCTCAGATGGGGATGGGTAGACGGTCAGGGTGACGGTGGGGAGGGCTGGGCGGGCGGATGTGCTCTCAGACGGGGACGGGTGGACGGTCAGGGTGACGGGGAAAGGGGTGGACGGGGAAGATGTGCTTTCAGATGAGGTTGGGTGGACGGTCACTGGGAGGGGTTTCTCCGGAGGTCAAGGAAGAACTGACCACCCAGGGGAGAAAAGCCGGGAGGGACAGCCTGCTGGCCGGCCACCTCCCCCACGCAGGGGTGGCAGGTTCTACAGGGGTGGCAGCGTCTGAGGTTTCAGCGGGAAGCCCCGCACTGTGAGGGTGAGAGTGTGTGGTGTTTGTGGGGGCTGGTGTTACGGGAATAGTTGTAGCTACCCCAGGGTGAACGTTGACTGTGTGCCTGGAACTGCCGTAAGTTCCTTGCATGTATGGATTCATTTCATCCCTACACAACCCCAGTGGTGCGATTCTTATCCCCTTTTCCTGATGGGGAAATAAAGACGCAAGAGGTTAAATAACCTGTGAGCACCGAGCCAGTTCGTCGGGAGCCGGAAACCAGACTCAGCCATGGTCACGATGCCGTCCGAAGCCCCGTCTGCTGCTACGGTTTGCGGTTCTAGTTCCAGCCCCATTTGAGGGAAGGAAGTCGAGGCTCGGCGAGGACTCTGGGGAGTGGCGGACGGGCAGGGATGGTCAGAATCTCCCTGTGCCAGGTCGGAATGGAGCCAACATGGCAGGACGTGGCAGGTGGCTCCTGGGAAGTGTCCTGGGGGGCAGGGCGGGGACAGCACGTGAGGGGCGAGGAGGTGTGTGCAGCTGGACTTCCAGATGGGGATTCGTTACTTTTTAAATCTCACTTGTCACTTTGTACGTACTTTTCATCTGAGGGTCCACAAAACACCTTCAGTTCTGGAAATTTCTCAGTCTTTGAATGTGGCTCCTCTGCCATTCCGTTTCTCCTCTCTGGAAATCCCACTGGATACATTTTAGAGCCCCTCAACCATCCCCCACGGCTCTTTCTTGTTTATTTCTTTATCTTTCTGCGATACTTCCCGGTGAGTTCCTCGGTACCGCCTTCCAAGTCGCTAAGTCTTTCCTCGAGATCACCTCCCCCTTGGTGTCTTTCTTAGGGTTAGTTTTCCTCAGGTGTTTTGGAATTTTGGTTTGCGGGCTCATCTTGTGTGATAATGGTCCCTTTCTCTCTCTTTCCCACCCAGCTCTTCTAGCTGGATAGCTTTGCAGCTGCTCCCACCTGGGTCCGGGATTGTGCGGTGCTGAGCCAGGCGTCCTGGGTTTGTGGCGAGCTGCTTATCCATGGTGATACCGGGATTATTCCCAGAGCCTCACCCCAGCCGCGACAGCTTGGCCCGGCCCTGCTGCTGTCGGCTTCCTTTCCTCTGAGCTTATTTCCTTGTATGTGCTGTAGTCCCGGGGCAGGACCCTGCTGATTTCAGCCTCCTTTCCCAGGTGGAAAATCCCCTCACCAGCCTGATTTTAGTGACTCTGCTCTGGTCCCCACCTCCCAAGGGACACTTTTAGTCCCTGCACCCTGGAAGACCCATCTCCCAGCTGCCTCTGTCTGCTTCTGAGCCCAGAGCTCAGCAGGCTGTGCCTTCACCCCTCAAAATGGCAACTACTTTGAATTTCTGATCCGCGGAGATACAGATCTTTTTTGCGCACATTTACTTGCTGCTGCTGTTGTGAAAATATTTTCCTCTATTATTGCTGTGTCTTTGGAGCGGGAAAAGCCGCAGGCAGGGCCTCACAGGGTGTGCTGTCATTCTGTCTTGCTGGAAGTCCCTGATTCCTCATCCCCGGATGGAGTTAATAATGCCTCATCCCCGGATGGAGTTAATAACGCCCGCTCCGCAGAGCTGCTGTGAGAATTCAGCCAGGTTGTCCAGTGGGCGAAACCTCCAGCTTAGAGTGGATATTCCACAACTATTAGAGGCCTCCCTTCCTCCTCGGCCAGAAATCTCCCCTTTGAGCTTGAGGTCCTTCTAATCTTCAGGAGACCCCTTTGACGGTGCATGTGGTCCATGGAAGAAGAAATTCCTTAAAACATCATCTTGTGGGATGAAATGATGGTCACAGCTCAGCTGCCGGAGGGCAGAAGTGAGGGATTTTTGAAGGAAAAGAAGATGAATGGAAGGAAAGACAAATTTCGCAAATTTAATAATTTAGTCGAGGGCTGCCCGTCCCCCTCATGAGTCACCCTCACACTCCGTAACAGTCCTGAGCTACCACCAGCCTGTCCTAATCTCCAGAGTGCTCCAGTGCCCAGAAAAGTCCAAAATAGCTTAGGATGAATTTTCTTATCTTTCCTAAGGCAGAGAATACGAGGCTGTGTGTTGCGCTATCACTTTGTCCTTGAATTTTTAGAAGCTGATAAAACTTAGCCTCTAAAAGATCAAGGGTGTTCCCTCTCTGCAGCACCAGGCATGTGGTGCACAGTTAGCGGGAACGGATGGGGCTGGGAGCATGTTCATGGTATATGAGCCGGGGTACCTGTGGGTACCAGACACACGTGCTGGATTTTTCTGTCTGCTTTTGGGGTGTGGGAAGGCTGGCGTCATTGGTTTCCTAACGCCCTTTCTTCTTAGAAAAATGTCTAATCATAATGAAGAGATAATGAACTAGAAAGGCCATTTAAAATGTCAGATTTTAAACTGGTTCTGAGTCTGATAAAAATGTGGAGTTCTGTCTCCCCGCAGAAGCCAAATCCTGATGGAAGAACTTGGGTTTTCTGATGAAAACTCTTGGAGCACTCTGCCCAAGTCCTCTTATCTTCCTTTCCCTTCGTGCTTTACTTCCGTCGTCTCTGGCCAGAATGGTACGTACTTTTTCTGGAGTGAGTTGAGTGCTGGTGAGATGTTCCGGGAGCCGTCAGTGTGGGGTTGCTCCCTGTGTTACCAGGCGGCAATCTGAGCCTGGGCCCCTCTGCTTTGGGAGCTTTGGGAGCCTTGGGGGCTTGGGATTAGTCCCAGAGCCTCACCCCAGCTGCGACAGCTTGGCCCGGCCCTGCTGCTGTTGGCTTGCCTTCCTCTGAGCTCATTTCCTTTTATGTGCTGTAGTCCCGGGGCAGGACCCTGCTGATTTCAGCCTCCTTTCCCAGGTGGAAAATCCCCTCGCCAGCCTGATCTTAGTGACTCTGCTCTGGTCCCCCCCTCCCAAGGGACACTTTTAGTCCCTGCACCCTGGAAGACCCATCTCCCAGCTGCCTGTGTCTGCTTCTGACAGGCAGAATAAATGCATTTATTCACATAGGCAGCTGACACGTTTATTGAGCATCTCCTATGTGCCAGGCAAAACAGTTCTTCCAGTGGGAGAGGGAGACCACAAACCCCGTCAATTCTGCAGAGTCACAGACGGTGATCAAGGCCTCGGGGCAAAGGGGAGAAGAGGTGCTGGGGACACTGGCGTGGCTGCTGGCTTACATGGGGATCGGGGAGGGGCCCACTGACAAAACGACATTTGAGCAGAGATCTGAAGCATCTTCTGTGGCTGTGTGGAGGGGAAGCATTCCAAGTAGGGGTGTAACAGGTGCAAAGGCCCCAAGGCAGACGTGTGAGCTCCGCAGATTGGAGGCACAGCACGGAGACCAGCGTGGCTGGAGTTAGGTTGGGGCTCGGGAGGGGTTGTCAGATATATTAGTCTGTTCTCACACTGCTGATAAAGATGTACCTGAGACTGGGTAATTATAAAGGGAGGAGATTTGATGGACTCACAGTTCCACATGCCCGGGGAGGCCTCCCAACCATGGCGGAAGGCAGAAGGCACGTTTTACACGGCGGCAGGCAAAGAAAGAATGAGACCAAGTGAAAGGAGTTTCTTCTTATAAAAACATCAGATCTCGTGACACTTAGTCACTACCACGAGAACGGTCTGGGGGAAACCGGCCCCTCAGTTCAATTACCTCCCACTCGGTCGCTCCCACAACACGTGGGAATTACGGGAGCTACAGTTCAAGATGAGATGTGGGTGGGGACACAGCCAGACCATATGGTCAGAGACGTGATAGGGTGGGTCAGATTGTGTCGGTGCTTAGAGACCTTTGTAAGGACTTTGGGTTTTGAAAGTTGTTTGTTTGCTTTGTTTTTCTGAGACAGGATCTCACTGGGTCACCCAGGCTGTAGGGCAGTGCCACGATCTCAGCTCACTGCAACCTCTGCCTTCAGGGCTCAGACAACCCTCCCACCTCAGCCTCCCAAATAGCTGAGACTGCAGGCTGTACCACCACGTCCAGCTAAGTTTTTGTATTTTTGTAGAGACGGGGTTTTGCCATGTTGCCCAGGCTGGTCTCAAACTCCTGAGCTCAAGAGATCTGCCTGCCCCAGTCTCCCGAAGTGCTGGGATTTCAGGCGTGAGCCACTGCACCTGGCCAAGACTTTGGTTTTACACTCAGTAAAATGAGGCGCCCTTGGAGGGTCTTGAGGAAAGCAGAGACAAATCCCATCTCCCCCTCTTTTAAAGGGTACTCTGGCTGCTGTGTTGAGAATAAACTGCAGACTATCTCAAAGCCAGTAGCACAGTATTTTATTTTTCTTATTTAATATCGCCCAGATACATAAGTTCTTGTCTGTTGTTACCTTTGGAAGTTTTCATTTTTTTTTTTTAACATATATTCTATACATTTTACTCTTTTCTGATGATAAAATTAATATGGATCATTGAGGAACATTTACAATTATAGACAAGCATAAAGAAGTATACACCTTCCAAAAATCCAGAATCAGAGACCACCATTGGAATATTTAGTATATTCCAATCATTGTTCTCTGCCTTTTTTCTTTGTATTATTGAACCTATGTTTTAGAATGGATATCTTAAGTCTTTTCTGGTGTAATCAAGAACTCTTTGTAAACTTTCTCGTTGATATTCTGTCCTACAGATATTTTCCTAATTGAGGACATTTAAATTGTTTTCATTTCTTCTCTTA